CAGATTCAGCATTAAAGGCCAGCCTTGCTGGGAAGATGAATATATACCTTTGAATCAGCTCCAGCCAAGCTCCACAAGTCAAACCGGCAGATATATTTCACCAAAAAAGAATACCTCAAAAAGCAAAGGACATTTCTCTTTTCTTCATCTAGATTAGGATATACATCAGACATGAATGTTAGTTTCTTAAGATGAATTCAGTTTACAAGACATGAACTTGAAATCAACACTGCCACCATCAACAAAATAAAACTGCATTCAGGAAGGAAAATGTAATTGGTTTAGAAGCACATACTGTAAAGGCAGAACTACATCATACATTAACATTTCTATGTATTTCACACTCAGTATTAATGTGCTGTCTTGTTGGGTTTAACCTGTAGTCCCATGAATGACTATGTCCCTTAGAAGGGCCAGAAATTGGATGCTCAGGTATATAAGAACTGAGAACTGTAGTGGTTTTCTTCTTGTTGCTGATTTTACTGACATTAAGGCAGAATATTCAGGGCTTACAGTGACAGTGCAGATCCTACTGCATAAGGGGCAGTGACATGGAAAAAGAATTTTTTACAGCAAGACTGGTTAGAGGCTGTTTCTTAAAAAGTTTGTTTCAAGTGCCACAGAAAGAAATTTTGACTTAGTACAGAAAGTGAAACAATTAAAAGATTTTGGGCAAAAAACTCCCATCTACTATGCCTCAGCCTCAATGTAGAACGTTGTCCATGGGGATATTTTAATGTGACACAGGGAAAACTGCTACAAAATGCTGATAACTGAATGACCATTGCATCTGAAGCATATGTTGATCCAGCAAGCTCACACCACACTGATGGTCTGTAAAGGATGCCTGTGATTTACGAGCAGAACCCCATTTACCCACTTCCCAAAAAACACTACAGATTTGTCAAAATACACACTACAAATCTCTTGTTTATAAGCATCTCTTGAAAGACATCTGACATTTGCTTTTCACAGGATTCATCCGTAAACCAGCACTATATTATACTGGAATTGTTATGAGATTAAACTTGCACTGACCCACATCAACTATTCAAGTATGGGACTTAGAGCAACAAACAATGCAGCTCTTTGTGTCAGAGACTGCCCTTAAGCATTTTCACACCACCATTCACAGCAATTCAATTCTGATAGCAGTGGCTCAGCTTTACTACAGCCTACAACATAAAGGCAAGATCACTGAAATGCTGAGATTCAAATAAAACAATAAGAAAAGCAACCCCAAACTGAAAACAGTAAAAATTAGAAGCAAGAAATAAATAGAGATCCTTGATGCACCAACTTCAGGACACAGAAAATCTTTTTAGTAATGGATTGCCTACACCTACAATACGTCTTTCTTAATGCTATATTAACTGGATATTTATAAACAAAAGTGACTGACTACATCATTAAATACATTTTTATGCTACTACAAGAAAAACTCCAGCTTCCATTATTTCATGGAATCTTTTCTATTTTAAAGCAGCACAATGGCAGTCTCCTATTCAAAACTCTATGCTAGCTATTCATAAACCATTGGGAGAGAAAAGTCTCAAAACAAAACAAAACTAAACTGCAAAGCATAGAATTAATCTATCCAAACAACATTTTGGAAAGGCACTGATGTTTGGGAACAAAAGATGCTCACCCTCTCAGTATTATTTTTTTATAGCATGCTACTCAAAATGATTCATATTCAGCAACTGCTCTGATTTGCTCCAGTGCTGAGCTAAGAGTCACCTCAGATACTGACTCAGTGAGGTAGGGATTGGCTTTATTCGGCGCCAGGTACATGGGGGTCACTCCTCCTAACACACACACTCAGCACTTTACACAGCACAGTTTATGGTTAAATTTCATGCATATTCATTACATTCCTTGGCATAGGACTGGTTATACAAATTACTTCTTGAAAGTCATTCATATCACTAGCATAGTTGACTCGCAAATGCAGTATACGGTGGTGATTGCACTGAGGAAGGCTGCGAGTCTTCCACAGGGATTATTCCGATGAAGGCTGGCAGTCTTCCTCACTTTGCACTTTTCACCTTTCTTTCTGAAGCATGAACAGTCCTTCATCAGCAGTTTCTGTGCCAGTTTCAACAGGTTCTGTTCCTCTTCTCTTCTTAAGGTGCATTCTGTTTATGTTGACAAGGCTAAGGTGCATCCTGCTTCTTAGGCTTATGATTAATATTTGCTGACTCTTAATAGTTAATTCATGCTTACATGAGTAAACTATTGATCAGCTCCTTTCAACTCCAGCAGCAAATAAACCCACAAGTCCATTGGAGACTAATCAAAATACAATAGAACCACCACTGAAAATGTAGCTTTGCTTCCTAGGAACTCCATAGAGAAATAGATCCAAGGTTTCTTCACTTAAAAGCCTGGGTAAATCCAGGCTCATACTCATTGTTATAAATGAAATTGAAATTTAGTCAACTAGGTCTATTGAGTTAACAGCAATTTAATAACAATAACAACAACAAAAAGAGTTTAGTGGGATTGAATACAAGCATACAATTGAATAAAAGAATATAATTTAGTGAATTGAATAGCAATTTGGTACAAAAGGAATACCATTTAGTAAAAGAATACAATTTAATAAATATATTCATATGTTTATATATATAGGTACACATGTATATGTATATATATGTATATATTTATGTACATATACACACACATATATATAGACATATATATATATATATATATATATATATATATATATATATACACATATATATATATATGTATATATTTATGTACATATACACACACATATATATAGACATATATATATATATATATATATATATATATATACATATATGAATATAGGTTGCCAGTAATTAAATATGATTAAAGCATAAGCAAAACCGACCGGGGTATGGAGAGAGCTTCCCACCCTACCTCACGTACAAATCAAAGCAATTCAAACTAAACTTATATACTGTATGTTTATACATATTCCTTAATGTTTCCTGCAAGTCTCATCCTATTTCCGATTCTCTAATTTTCCGTCACTATTCTTCACGGTGCATGCCTCACTTGTTGCTAGGGGGTCTTCAGTCTTCTTTTGGAGGTCTTTTGGATGAAGGCTTACACTCATCCTCATTGTCCTCTGGATGGCCTTACAGGTTGCGTGTGCACACTTAGCGTTGTGTTATGGAAGTAAGCATTATGTTCCACTAATTAGTCTTACATTTCATAATTTCAGGCTTCATGCCTAAAGGCATTCCAACTTTGTCCGTCTCAAGGTCAATTTTGTCTTGGCACATTACTTAGCTCAAAACTACATCGGTACCTTCATTTCAACATGTAACACCTGTAAAGGGATACATCTGCCTTGTAACACTAATTCCCTTGATTGCTTCTAATAATAACTTTCTAAATAGTTACAATTTAGTTAGCATGAATCATTTCCATTTATCACACTCATGATATCCAAGAATTTACTGCCAAGGTGTCACGATCCACAAGGTGGGATTTGTGATGTGGTTCTTTGATTTGATCTTAGAGTACAAAAGATTATCAGCACACCAGGGACTTAAACAGCAAAACACATTTCATTGAGTGCTCATCAGCACTAATATGTGATAGAGTGAAAAGAGGAGAAAGCAAAGCATAAGGAAAAGAGAGTAAGGGGATTATAGCTACCAGCGTCGAGGTCCACTCAGCCGTCCATCAACACAGGGTCTTCTCTCCATTGGGGAGATCTCAAAGGAAGGTAAGTTTGGGGTGTAATTTTATAGATTTTCCAAAGCAAGGGGCATAGGGCCAAAACCAGAGGAGATTGATGATCATTGTGATGAATTCCATTGTGCAGGGGGCAGGGGTAGGGTGGAGAGCAAACCACGTCTTGCAAGCCTTTGTTCACCAGCAGGAATGAGAGCAGTGTACCGTGCAACCACCTGCAAACAATCACTTAGCAAACATCCACCTCAGCTAGGCCCAAACCCCTAAACCAAATCCCTTGTGATATTCAGGGTCTCAGTCTCTGTTCTTGGGATGGTTGTGAGACAGATGAGAGAATCTTCGTCTCTTACACAGGGTGAACACATGAAGGCCCAACACCCAGGGACACAGAGGCAGAGACATAGAGACAGAGATGGACACGGACACGGACACGGACACGGACACGGACACGGACACGGACACGGACACGGACACGGACACGGACACAGACGCAGACACACACCGTTGGATGCACACACATCCCTTGCACTCACGCTTGGAACCATTTTCCAGCTGAGCTGAGGACAAGAAGTGACCGTAATATCCCGGGCTCTCCAGCTTCACTGCAAGGCATCCGACAGCCTTGAAGGTCCAAAGTAAGCACTGGTTGGAGCTCTTTTTGGCCGGAATGAGACCGGAGGAGCTCCAACAGCCCGCAACCCCTGCCCAGGCACAGCCCGTGGCTCAGCCGGGGCCGCTCCGCCTGCGCGGGGCCGCTGCCGGGGCGGTGTCGCGGCTCCTCCCGCGGCTCGGAGCTGACGCGGCCCCGGCGGCCCCGGCCCGGCCCCACTGCGCTCCGAGCGCGGCCCCACCGCAGCCAGGGGGTCCAGGAACGGGCGGACATCCCGGGAGAGGGGAGAGAGACCTTGGCAGAGGGAGAAGTGACCAGGAGAGGGGAAAGATGCTAGAGAGGGGAGGAATCCTAGGAGAGGAAAGAGCGGGAGATCCCGAGAGAAGGAGAAGCTCTCGGGATAGAGGGGGAGACCCAGGGAGACGGGGTAGAGCTCGACAGAAGAGAGACCCTGGGAGTGGGAAGAGCCCGGGAGCAGAGGGAGAGCACGGGAGAGAGGGAGAGTCCGAGAGAGAGGATCCCGGGAACTGGGGGAGAGCCCTGAGAGAAGGGGAAGAGTCCAGGGCAGAGGGAGGAGAGCCGGTGTGAGGGCATCCTTGGGACAGGGAAGACGGCCGTGGAGGGAGGGGAGAACCGCCTTAGCAAGTGGGGAATCCCTGGATCGGGGAGTCCTGCAGCTGGGCTGAGAATGGGCGTGGGTCAGCGCGTTTTGGGAGAGCGCTGCTGCGGGGATGGGTCCAGAGCCGGAGGAAAGCAGCTGCTCGGCAGCCCCGGCGGCGGTGAGAGCACGGCCTGCCCGGAGAGGCAGCGCGATGGGCACCGCTCAGGCTCCCAACGAAGCAATGGCACCGCTCGGGTTCGCCGCCGCATCCGCGACAGCTCGGAGCATCGGAGCCTCCTTGGAGCCAAGGTGCAACCTGCGCCAGGTGCATTGGAGCATCGCCTCTGTCTTGAGAATCCACAACGAGCACTGCTGGGCAGGGACTGCAGATCCCCATTGGAGGCAGAGAAAAAAGAGAAAGAAATCTTCCATGGGAGAATAAATGGAATAGGAGTGAGGTGTCACCGTGAAATGTGTTAAGATGCACTCACAAGGATACTATTGCTCTTGGCTCAGAACATGGAAAAGAAGTGGGGAGACATAAATCAGAAGCTGGTGGCAATGTCCAGGGACTGGTTATCTGGATGAAATGCTACACAACTGCTGCAGTGCTGTATGGATGCCTAATTACCGCTTGCCAAACAATCTGGACTTGTTAGGGGCAGCATAGTTATCTCTCACAATGACTCAGGAGCCATGATTAAGAGTGCTCTGAAGAAAGGCTCATAGACCTACATTTTACTGCAGTTGCTGTAAATTTGATAAATGGAACCTGAATTTATGTCATGATTCTCATCATTCTCTGAATGTTTGCATTGTGGGGTTTTGTTTATGCAGGCGTGCATGCAAAATTTGGGGATCTACAGTAAAGTCTGTCTATAGGGGATCTGGAAGAGAGTGGCCTTCGGTCAACAATAAGTCAGTGAGAGACAACTGAGCCATTATTACTCTGAGAAAAAACAGCCCTGCAATGGAGGTGTGAGCCCTGGCTTATATTCAGTAGAACCACCTTAGGCAGTGTCAGTTAGAAGGTAGCAAAGAGTGAAGCGTCTAGTCCTTTGGTGCAGTATTGTATGGACTTCAGGATCACTACAACATTCCAAATAGCTTCCCCTTAAGTCAGAAGAGGTTTCCATATCTTCCACAAATTGCCTGCTGAAATTCTTCTGCTCTCTCCCAAATCAGTTCACTACTCTAGCACAAACCTCAGGCACATCCCCAAATTCCCTCTCTCCCAGCAGCTCTGAGCTGCATTGCACAGAACTTGCTCTGCACCAGAGAGCACAAAGCAGGCTGGCCTGGTGCCCCTGAATATTTCTGTAAAACACACTGCATTTCACACCTTTGCTCTGGCTCAGTGCAGAGCTCCAGGAGTGCAGGCACTTTGTCCCAGAGCTGTGTGAGGCACTGGCTCCTGCACATCTGACCTGACTTGCTGTCACTGCCTCACGCTGGCCTCGGTTCCCCTGGCAGAAATGCCGTGCCTGAAGGACACTGCCCTGTGCTGGAGCCTGCGGAGCAGCCCGGCTCCCTCCCCCTGTGCCCAGAGTGCTGCACACACTGCTGACCATTGCCAGCAGTTCCAGGGCAGCTGGCAGAAGAGCAGGACAACAGCTGGGCAAAACCCGG